CGTTATTGTACTGGCCACACAGAATGAGTGTCACATGCTTCCATTATGTCAGGCCTACCAGCTGGAAATCAGTGTCAACTTGGAGCAGGCATGGAGGGGTGCGAATTGGGTGCGTTATTGTACTGGCCACACAGAATGAGTGTCACATGCTTCCATTATGTCAGGCCTACCAGCTGGAAATCAGTGTCAACTTGGAGCAGGCATGGAGGGGTGCGAATTGGGTGCGTTATTGTACTGGCCACACAGAATGAGTGTCACATGCTTCCATTATGTCAGGCCTACCAGCTGGAAATCAGTGTCAACTTGGAGCAGGCATGGAGGGGTGCGAATTGGGTGCGTTATTGTACTGGCCACACAGAATGAGTGTCACATGCTTCCATTATGTCAGGCCTATCAGCTGGAAATCAGTGTCAACTTGGAGCAGGCATGGAGGGGTGCGAATTGGGTGCGTTATTGTACTGGCCACACAGAATGAGTGTCACATGCTTCCATTATGTCAGGCCTATCAGCTGGAAATCAGTGTCAACTTGAGCAGGCATGGAGGGGTGCGAATTGGGTGCGTTATTGTACTGGCCACACAGAATGAGTGTCACATGCTTCCATTCTGTCAGGCCTACCAGCTGGAAATCAGTGTCAACTTGGAGCAGGCATGGAGGGGTGCGAATTGGGTGCGTTATTGTACTGGCCACACACATGCTGTCAGGCCTACTCAGTGTCAACTTGGAGCAGGCATGGAGGGGTGCGTCTTGGGTGCGTTATTGTACTGGCCACACAGAATGAGTGTCACATGCTTCCATTATGTCAGGCCTATCAGGTGGAAATCAGTGTCAACTTGGAGCAGGCATGGAGGGGTGCGAATTGGGTGCGTTATTGTACTGGCCACACAGAATGAGTGTCACATGCTTCCATTATGTCAGGCCTACCAGCTGGAAATCAGTGTCAACTTGGAGCAGGCATGGAGGGGTGCGAATTGGGTGCGTTATTGTACTGGCCACACAGAATGAGTGTCACATGCTTCCATTATGTCAGGCCTACCAGCTGGAAATCAGTGTCAACTTGGAGCAGGCATGGAGGGGTGCGAATTGGGTGCGTTATTGTACTGGCCACACAGAATGAGTGTCACATGCTTCCATTATGTCAGGCCTATCAGGTGGAAATCAGTGTCAACTTGAGCAGGCATGGAGGGGTGCGTCTTGGGTGCGTTATTGTACTGGCCACACAGAATGAGTGTCACATGCTTCCATTATGTCAGGCCTACCAGCTGGAAATCAGTGTCAACTTGGAGCAGGCATGGAGGGGTGCGAATTGGGTGCGTTATTGTACTGGCCACACAGAATGAGTGTCACATGCTTCCATTATGTCAGGCCTACCAGCTGGAAATCAGTGTCAACTTGGAGCAGGCATGGAGGGGTGCGAATTGGGTGCGTTATTGTACTGGCCACACAGAATGAGTGTCACATGCTTCCATTATGTCAGGCCTACCAGCTGGAAATCAGTGTCAACTTGGAGCAGGCATGGAGGGGTGCGAATTGGGTGCGTTATTGTACTGGCCACACAGAATGAGTGTCACATGCTTCCACTATGTCAGGCCTACCAGCTGGAAATCAGTGTCAACTTGGAGCAGGCATGGAGGGGTGCGAATTGGGTGCGTTATTGTACTGGCCACACAGAATGAGTGTCACGTGCTTCTATTATGTCAGGCCTATCAGGTGGAAATCAGTGTCAACTTTGAGCAGGCATGGAGGGGTGCGTCTTGGGTGCGTTATTGTACTGGCCACACAGAATGAGTGTCACATGCTTCCATTCTGTCAGGCCTACCAGCTGGAAATCAGTGTCAACTTGGAGCAGGCATGGAGGGGTGCGAATTGGGTGCGTTATTGTACTGGCCACACAGAATGAGTGTCACATGCTTCCATTATGTCAGGCCTACCAGCTGGAAATCAGTGTCAACTTGGAGCAGGCATGGAGGGGTGCGAATTGGGTGCGTTATTGTACTGGCCACACAGAATGAGTGTCACATGCTTCCATTATGTCAGGCCTACCAGCTGGAAATCAGTGTCAACTTGGAGCAGGCATGGAGGGGTGCGAATTGGGTGCGTTATTGTACTGGCCACACAGAATGAGTGTCACATGCTTCCATTATGTCAGGCCTATCAGGTGGAAATCAGTGTCAACTTTGAGCAGGCATGGAGGGGTGCGTCTTGGGTGCGTTATTGTACTGGCCACACAGAATGAGTGTCACATGCTTCCATTATGTCAGGCCTACCATCTGCTTTGTCATGGAATTAAGCGTCAGCTGGCTCGCTCAGACCTTGACTCCTCGAGCAGTTTGACAGACCGTCAAGCTGCTCGAGCTGTCAAGGTCTGAATGAGCCGCTCGCCGCTTGGCTGGTGCTATGACTCTGTTTTGGTTGATGATACCTCTGCCAAGTGTCACCATGTCGACGACAGTTCACTAAAGTCAGGTCTTCCTCCTGGGCATCAGTGTCAACTTAGAGAAGGCATGGAGGGGTGCGTGTTCGGTGCGTTAGTGTACTGGCCACACAGAACGAGTGTCAAGTAAATCCATTATGTCAGGCCTACCATCTGCTTTGTCATGGAATTAAGCGTCAGCTGGCTCGCTCAGACCTTGACTCCTCGAGCAGTTTGACAGACCGTCAAGCTGCTCGAGCTGTCAAGGTCTGAATGAGCCGCTCGCCGCTTGGCTGGTGCTATGACTCTGTTTTGGTTGATGACTCCTCTGCCAAGTGTCACCATGTCGACAAGCAGTTACGGTGCAGTGGATGTCGATGAGTGTCAATCCATTAAAGTCAGGTCTTCCTCCTGGACATCAGTGTCAACTTGGAGAAGGCAGGCAGGTTTGCGTATTGGGTGCGTTATTGTACTGGCCACACAGAATGAGTGTCAATTGCTCCTTATAATGTCAGGCTTACCAGCTGGACATCAGTGTCAACTTTGAGCAGGCATGGAGGGTGTGTGTTGGGACCCAGTAGGCACCCTCCATGCGTGCTCAAAGTTGACACACCTACCAGCTGGAGATCAGTGTCAACTGTGACAAGGCAGGCAGGGGTGTGTTATTGTACTGGCCACACAGAATGAGTGTCAAATGCATCCACTATGGCAGGCCTTCGTCTTGGAGATCAGTGTCAACTTGGAGCAGGCATGGAGGGGTGCGTCTTGGGTGCGTTATTGCACTGGCCACACAGAATGAGTGTCACGTGTTTCCATTATGCCAGGCCTACCAGCTGGAAATCAGTGTCAACTTTGAGCAGGCATGGAGGGGTGCGCATTGGGTGTGTTATTGCACTTGCCACACAGAATGAGTGTCAAATGCTTCCATTGTCAGAGTGTCAAGACAGATTTTGGTTTCTGCCTGCTCTTGCAGGCCACCATCGTCTGAGCTGCCAGTGTCAGTGGCTGCTGATAGTCGCGTTTTTATTGTTACCACTGTAGACATTCGACATGATCGCGGGAGAAAAAGAGTGAGTGATTGCTGCTTGGTGTTGCATTCACATGGATGCACAAAAACAGCCCGGATCCATAAATAACTTTCAGGGCTGCCAAAGCCCATCCCAGGTTACCATAACAAGGATCTATAGTAAGTAATATGGCTTCCTTATTATTATGGCACCTTAAACTACATCCCCAAACCCTTAAAGGAGCCCTCGATCCCTTATAGATCCCTATTGTGGTAACTCTAATTCCAAAACAAGATCCCAGGAAAAGAGCTCGGCCCGACCTTCCCAACAATTCCGGAGAGTGTCCGGTACATTGGGCTGCAAAGTCTTCCAACGTCGTAGCTTTGGATGCGATGCTGGGCCAAGTTTAAGGATATATACCATATGGGCTTAAATAACAATCAATACTGTTTTGGTGGCTCCTTATTATAATTATGGTATAATGGGCCCAACAACCTTATTTTATTGTAATTATCAAGGCCCCTATATTCCGGTTGAAGCTTCCATTATACGGACCTATAGTAGAATTTGGGGGTGTGTCCGTAGATTCTGGTAGCTAAAACTGAATTCCTTTTGACAAGAGACGAGGATGACAAGAGCCAACCGAGCTCTCCTCTCCATGCGCGATTGCGACGGCTTCACTGCCTTCATCGTGTCGGCACAGACGGACAACTGTCCAGTGATGCTGGGCTCATGTTATGGAACATGGTTTAAGTTACCAGAATAGGGGTCTATAGAACGTACTGCTTTGTAACTCAGATCGTTTACTGATTATATGGCAACTTATATTCAGCTCCTATTATAAAGACGCCAGGATGGAGTGGATGTACCTCAAAGGGGTCAGCCTTGAAGAACAGGACGACCAAGGCAGGACTGCCCTGCAGTGGGCATTTTGGTAGAGCCGGTAGCCTTTTACTTTGTTCGGGGTGCTAGGATACATAGGGGCCTAACTAAGTACCAATACTGTTTTGGGGGGCGCCTTCGTATAATTTTGGTATGATGGGCCCCCAAACCCTATTCTAATGATTAAGGCCCCTATATTACCGCTGGTTTGGAGTTTAGGGGTTAGGGGCCAGGGCCATCGATGAGGCAGGTGCAGAGACTGCGTTGAAAAGGAACTAGTGGTATTGCCTACATAATCCCAAAGATTAACCTTCAGCTTTCGCTTCTTCGGGGATACTGGACAAGTAAGGCATGCCACAAGGGGAACAAGAAGACAGTCCAGTGGTTGCTGTCGCGATCAGCGAGTATTGTTCATCGAGACCGAGAGGGCATGACGGCGCTTCACTGGGCAGCAATGCAAGGACACACCTCTAGTGGCGGAGAGGGTTTAGGGTTTAGGGTTTACCACTATGGGCTATTAGGCCTTAAAGATCCCTATTAGGACCCTATTAAGGGTAGATTAAGGTACCCATAAGGTCTAATAGCCCATAGTGGTAGGCAAGCTTGAACCTTCTTGGGCATGACAATTCTTATATTCCACTGAGGGTTAACCTTGAGTTCTGCTCGGACCCTGGACAAGGACACACCATCATCACGGAAATGCTCCTGGAAGTGGGCGCGGTGGACCTCCTAGACGTGCCCGACTGTTCTGGCGAAACGCCGATTGAACTCGCAATGCGGAAACTTGGTAGCTGAGTACGTAACCTTCGGTGTATACAATACTACCATAATTGAAAAGCTTAACCTTTTTTGGGCTAGAAATTACTCAACCTCTAAGGAAAAAGAAGAGGATGTTGGTTTTGGCCTTCCACAAGTGCCAAATCTTCAAGCTCCTATTCGGCAGGCCACACCTGTTCCAGAATAACTTCGCGGGTCTCTTCGTTTGCTTCATTGCCTTCAACATCCTCCTCTTTGCCCTCATCGTAGCGCCAGGAATTGCGGCTAGAAATCCCGAAGCCGTCATGACCTGGTCCATATTGATGGGGCTGTCACTGCTGCTTTGGGTGCAGTGCCTCTACTCGGATCCCGGGTGGCTCCAGCCACGTACCATAAACTCCCAGAGTCACCTGCTGGGCAAAGATCCGGCCAGGACGTTTGATGTTGATCAGCCGATCGAGTCGCAGATGGCTCACTGCGACAACGTTCTGCAGAAGCTCATCTCCACATGCGACGGAGAGGCCCCGCAGCTCATGAAGTTGGAGCTAGAGCAGAACAAGTACAACTATCAGCGGCAGCTTCTCCGGGAAGCACGGAAACTTGGTAGTTGAGTGGATACACTTTACACTTTTTGGGATAGTATTACCCACTATAAAACCAAAAGTGTACACTTTTTGGGGCATTATGAACTCAGCAACTTAGGAAACGGCTCGAAGAAGGCTGCGGAATTGGCGATCCTCGAAGCCCAGCCTTGGGAGAATCCCAGCCCTTGATCGCGGCAGGTTTCAATGATTCCGGGTCACGGCAGGCTCAGCTGGATCGGGCAACAGTGACTTGGTAGCCGAGTTGGTAGCCTTGGGAGATTTTTGTTGGGGTAATTGCTGCATTGCATACATATTCCCAAAGGTTGCCCCCTCTTTCCCCAAGGATACAGTGGAATTTAAAGAATAATTGCCTTAAATTATGGTAGGATCTCTAATATGGTTTAAGGAATATTCCTTAAGTAAGGGAGTGGCTTGTTGGTGTAGTAAGCCTAGTAGTAGAGCAGGCAACCTTTAACTTTTTGGGGTTTTTTGGTAGCATAGCCCCTATATAATCCCTATATAAACAAAAGGTTAACCCTTAGTTCCCCATGATACCCGACAAGTAAGTATCTGGTCCTCGGTACTGTCATGGGGGATACTTCCCCAAATCATAATAGTAGTTCCTAATATACAAACCCTACATTCTACTATATAGCTATTTCATGACCCTTAAAGCCTAAACGGCCTATAGAAACCCTTAAATACTTTGAGAGTAAGGTGACGCTGCACGAGCGTGAACGTGCAGCAAGCGACAACCTGGGACGCGCTCGGGTGGAGCAGCTCCTTGCACAAGGGGCTGGCGAGTATCTGGGCTCAGGCTATAGAGCCTGCTTAGGGTTTCCTTTAAGGGTCCCTTTAAAGGGGTTTATAGGCATTCTATAAGTCTATAAGGGTATCGGGTTCAGGGTTGGGGGGTTTAGGGCTCAGGGTTTATAGGGGTTTAGGGTTTAGGGCTCAAGGTTTAGGGGTTTAGGGTTTAGTAGGGACGTTTGAAGGCTTGGCTGAAGGGATGCAGGGCTTGGTGCATTCCAGTCCCTGCTCAAAAAAGGGTTTAGTAGGGTTCTGCAGTACCATACTTGCATACCTTCTGTTTTGGACCTGTTCCTGAAAGGAACCATTGTGAAACAGTAGTCTATGCTTTTTTTTCCCTGGTGACTCCACAAGTCCAGGTATCTCACCTTCGTGGAGAAGGGGGAGTTCAAGCAGGTGCCGAAAACACCAAAGCCCCTACGAAATGGTAGCGCGTTACACCCTTTCCCTAGGTTACAGGGCATCACCCGGAACCCTAAACCCTCAATGGGGTTATAACGCATCGGCATACCAAAGACCATAAACCCTTAACCTTGCTTTTCGGACTTGCCCTTAACACACTAGGTTTTTTGAGATTCCCAGGTGTGCGTCATTTGCCGCACAGTGCGCGAATTTCGCTCGCACCACGTAAAGGAGCAAGGCCGGTGTGTGCACAGAATGGACCATTATTGCCCTTGGATAGACACTTTGTTCTGAAAAGCACCCAACCTGGAAACCTTTTGGGTTCTCATAGTCAAGTAGTCTGTAGGTTTAACCTACATTTCTGTGACTGATTAGTGCGAAGTAAGGACAATACCGTTGGCTTGGGGAACCAGAGGTCGTTCTTTGTGTTCGTCACACTGATGTATGCCACCGTCCTCTACTTCTACTACACGGTCTTCCTCTACGCGTTCGACACGGTGTTTCCAGAGATTTCCCGAGGCTCCTTCAGTGACTTCGTAGCTGAGTGGATACACTTTACACTTTGTGGGATCATGTTACCCTAAAGCTTAAGTCCTAGACCCTAACCCACTGCAAAACTAAAGGTGTACAGTTTTGGGGGCTTGACCTCAGCAACTAAGGTACTCTAGCCCTGAACCCTGAACTCAGCAACTAAGGTGAGCTTCTGCAGTCCCTGACAAGTGGATCCTTTGGAGCGGAGGTGCAACCAGCTACTTGGTAGAGTAAGTAGCATTTTTTTTTTGGGGGGGGGGTAATAGTTAGAATCCTATAAGGCAATCCCAAAAAGGAACGACCATGGGTAGTGGAGTACAGTAAGTAGAATTTTTTTTTTTTTTTTTTCAACCTTCATCTCCAAACCCTGAACCTAAAGCCGTCTGCCTACATGAGTACTAAATAATCCAAAAGCTCAAGCCGTAGTTCCACTTCTGATCCTAAACCCAAAATTAAACCCTAAACCCCAAGCAGGAAGAACACCGAAGTAGTCTTTCTGGGATGGCAAGGCCCTTTAAGATGTAAGCGCCAGGGAGGTTGGCCAAGGATGCTGAACGCTCACCCCCCGATAAGTACCGAAACTCGAGAAGTGAGAGTTTCCGAAAATAGGGGTACCATATTTTGCGATCCATGTAATAAGGATCCTACTATTTAGGGTACCATATTAGGGTCCCCTATGTTCGGAAACTCCAAAGTCAGGTTCTGGTCCTGCTCACGGCTGGGGTGGACCTGTTTTGGGTCTACTTCCTGACCCTTCTCATGGCCAGGACCACGCTGAACATGTTGGTGATGCTCGGAGAGATAGGGTTTAGGGGTTTAGGGCTTGATGGCTTAGGATGTCGGGTTTAAGGTGTAGGCTCTAGGGGTTAAGGTATAGGGTTTAGGAATGTTCAGTTTCGGGTTTCGAGTTTCGGATGCTCGGTAGTATCTTTGGGGTGGCTAGGTTTAGGAACTTCAGTGGTATCAATGACTACTTTTAGGCATTTAGGGTTTTAGGATGTTTAGTAGAGTGGTTTGGTTGTCATGTTCTTTGTGCTGGAAAGTCGAAATATTCTTATTACAACGAACCCCCAAAAAGTATACAGTTTTCACAGTGGGCTGGTGACCGAGGAATGTGACTACCTACGAGACCTTGATGAAACCCAGCCATGTGCTACGACGCTTCCCGAAGACTCGAGGGAAGTGGTGGTTTACTCAAGGCACCACTCTGCGATCTGCCATTTCGAATTGCATCTTGACTCTCCAATAGACTTTGGTTTCGAGTTTAGAGTGTAACCGCATTTCAGGCCTCAAATACCCAACCTTTACAAGTTGTGGGTCCTTCCAGTCTAGAAACCTGTAGCTTTGTGGTAGAGTGGGTATCCTCTATCCGCTGTAGGGTACCGTACTCCTTGTTTCAACCAAAAGGGTTACCTTTGGTTTGCCTCGGAGACTGGACAAGTCTTCAAGTAAGAATACAGAATATCCAAGCTTTGCACTTTCGAGGTTCTTACGGTTTAGAAGTATTCTGGAAGCCGAGCCTCAGTCTTCATATTGTCTGGGCTTCTTCTTCTGGAAGTGAGGCATTAGCTACTGGACATTGGACACCAGTGGAGATGCAGCAGCTTTCCGCGGAAGTCCTCAAGACAGCTTCATGGCACCCGGACAGACATCGAGGAACAAGTGGCAAGAACTGCCCGAAGAGCCCTGAGCCTTCAGCGAATGCATGCATGCAGTGGTTACAGTAAAATGCTGCGGAGTTTCACGCCGACGAGCTTGGAAGTTCCGCAAAAACCAGGAAGGCTTGGACAGGTCTGCGGGACTGCAGGGTTTAGCATTCAGGCTCTAAGCTTATGGAGGCACTTCAGAGAGACCACGTTCTTGCCCTGAGTCTCCGCATTCGAGGTTGCTGGTGTGAGAGCCTTGAGTCTGGACTTCTGGGTCGGGCGTTACTTAGTGAACGGAGGAACTTTAAACTTTTTGGCTTACATATATATATATACTGGGCTGTGCTTTCGGAGTGTTTTTAATTTCTGTGGTTTTGCTGGGTCTTGGTATACAACGATTGATTGTATGGTTTGTAGTGTCAAACAACCATAAGTTTGTAGTGTCAAACAACCATAAGCCACGTTAGCTCAAGCTGCCACTCGAAACGAATTGTCAGTGGTAATTTACCACTGACAATTCGCTTCGAGTGTCAGCAAGCTTCTCATGTGAACATCGCCCTCACCGTGGATCACCTCGAGTGTCAGCGTGGAGCCCTAGAGTGCAGAGTCATGCTGGTGTTTGCGGCAAACCCATTCGCCGCTGCGGCAAGACCCATTCGCCGCTAGCAGGGTCAGGGTCTGAGGGTAGCATCTAAGAGAGAGTCATGCGGCATGGACCATTCGCCGCCGAGAGCTAGGATGAGAGTCATGTTCTTATCGTCTGCTAGAGTCAGATGCCATAGGTAGGTCGGCAGAGTGTCATAGCAGTGACTTGCAAGAGCAGTTTGTCAGTGTCAGGTACCACATTGCATCACCGAGGCCAGACCTTCCAGTGTCAAGCGATGGCAGGACACTGAGCGATTGCAGTCAGGGTCATCGCCTGAGAGCGCAGATGCATCCGGAGTGCAGTGTCATTTTGTGCGGCATGACCCATTCGCCGCTAGCAGTGTCAGGGTTTGAGTGTAGCATCTAATCTAAGAAAGAGTCATGCGGCATGGACCATTCGCCGCCGAGAGCTAGGATGAGAGTCATGTTGTTCAATGATTATTTTCGTCGTCGTCTATTTTAATATTAAATGACATATTTAGTTTAATATTTAAATTTAATTATAATAAATAAATATTATTCAATAAATGATGCCATAGGTAGGTCGGCAGAGTGTCATAGCAGTGACTTGCAAGAGCAGTTTTTGTCAGTGTCACATATAACAATAATAATTTCAATTTAATATAATAATTAAACACATTGCATCACCGAGGCCCGACCTTCCAGTGTCAAGCGATGGCAGGACACTGGGCGATAGCAGTCGGGGTCATCGCTTCAGAGTGCAGTGTCATTTTGTTGCGGCATGACCCATTCGCCACTAGCAGTGTCAGGGTTTGAGTGTAGCATCTAAGAGAGAGTCATGCGGCATGGACCATTCGCCGCCGAGAGCTAGGATGAGAGTCATGTTCAATCATCATCTAAGCTGCTAGAGTCACATGCCAAGAGTGTCACAGCAGTGACTTGCAAGAGCAGTTTGTGAGTGTCACATGCATCACATTGCATCACTGAGGCCAGACATTCCAGTGTCAAGCGATGGCAGGACACCGAGCGATTGCAGTCAGGGTCAGCGCCTGAGAGCACAGAGGCATCCAGGGCGTAGTGTCATGTTGTTGCGGCATGACCCATTCGCCGCTAGCAGTGTCATGGTCTGAGGGTAGCATCTAAAAGAGTCATGCGGCATGGACCATTCGCCGCCGAGAGCTAGGATGAGAGTCATGTTCTTATCATCTATCTGCTAGAGTCAGATGCCATAGGTAGGTCGGCAGAGTGTCATGGCAGTGACTTGCAAGAGCAGTTTTTGTCAGTGTCACATAATATATCACATTGCATCACCGAGGCCCGACCTTCCAGTGTCAAGCGATGGCAGGACATTGGGCGATTGCAGTCAGGGTCATCGCTTCAGAGTGTAGTGTCATTTGGTTGCGGCATGACCCATTCGCCGCTAGCAGTGTCAGGGTTTGAGTGTAGCATCTAAGAGAGAGTCATGCGGCATGGACCATTCGCTGCCGAGAGCTAGGATGAGAGTCATATTGTTCAATTATCGTCTATTAATCTGCTAGAGTCACGTGCCATAGGTAGGCCGGCAGAGTGTCATAGCAGTGACTTGCAAGAGCAGTTTTGTGAGTGTCACATGTATCACATTGCATCACTGAGGCCAGACCTTCCAGTGTCAAGCGATGGCAGGACACCGAGCGATTGCAGTCAGGGTCAGCGCCTGAGAGCACAGAGGCATCCAGGGTGTAGTGTCATGTTGTTGCGGCATGACCGAATTCGCCGCTAGCAGTGTCATGGTTTGAGGGCAAAATCTAAGAGAGTCATGCGGCATGGACCATTCGCCGCCGAGAGCTAGGATGAGAGTCATGTTCTTATCGTCTATTATTATCTGCTAGAGTCAGATGCCATAGGTAGGTCGGCTGAGTGTCATAGCACTGACTTGCAAGAGTTGTATTATCAGTGTCACATGTATCACATTGCATCACCGAGGCCCGACCTTCCAGTGTCAAGCGATGGCAGGGCACTGGGCGATTGCAGTCAGGGTCATCATCGCTTCAGAGTGCAGTGTCATTTTGTTGCGGCATGACCCATTCGCCGCTAGCAGTGTCAGGGTTTGAGTGTAGCATCTAAGAGAGAGTCATGCGGCATGGACCATTCGCTGCCGAGAGCTAGGATGAGAGTCATATTGTTCAATTAAATTATCGTCTATTAATCTGCTAGAGTCACATGCCATAGGTAGGCCGGCAGAGTGTCATAGCAGTGCCTTGCAAGAGCAGTTTTGTGAGTGTCACATGTATCACATTGCATCACTGAGGCCAGACCTTCCAGTGTCAAGCGATGGCAGGACACCGAGCGATTGCAGTCAGGGTCAGCGCCTGAGAGCACAGAGGCATCCAGGGTGTAGTGTCATGTTGTTGCGGCATGACCCATTCGCCGCTAGCAGTGTCATGGTCTGAGGGTAGCATCTAAAAGAGTCATGCGGCATGGACCATTCGCCGCCGAGAGCTAGGATGAGAGTCATGTTCTTATCATCTATCTGCTAGAGTCAGATGCCATAGGTAGGTCGGCAGAGTGTCATGGCAGTGACTTGCAAGAGCAGTTTTTGTCAGTGTCACATAATATATCACATTGCATCACCGAGGCCCGACCTTCCAGTGTCAAGCGATGGCAGGACATTGGGCGATTGCAGTCAGGGTCATCGCTTCAGAGTGTAGTGTCATTTGGCTGCGGCATGACTCATTCCCTGCTGGCATCGTCATGGTCTGAGGGTAGCATCTGAGAGTCATGCGGCATGAACCAGAGCTAGGAAGAGAGTCATGTTCTGATTCAAGGTGCTGACTTTAAAAATCTGCTAGAGTCACATGCCATAGGTATGTCGGCAGGGTGTCATAGCAGTGACTTGCAAGAGCAGTTTTTTGCCAGTGTCATGTGTCAGATTGCATCACTGAGGCCAGACCTTCCAGTGTCAGGCGATGGCAGGACGCTGAGCGATTGCAGAGTCAAGGTTGTCGCCTGAGGGTGCAGTGTTACGGTGTTGCGGCATGACAAATTCGCCGTGGCAGTGTCATGGCCAATGGCTTGAGAGTGGTATTTGAGAGTCATGCGGCAAGAACCATACGCTGCCTAAGTAGCAGAGTCAGGAGGGGCAGTGGTCATTGTCATCCATTGCCCAGGGACAGTCAGCGGTAACAGTGGAGTGCAGCAGTGTCACAGCCAGCATGCTTGCGCAAGTGACTGTGGAGTGTCATGGCTGCTGAGTGTCAGATGCATGACGTCTGAGGCCAGACCCCTCCACAGCCAGAGTCACAGGCAGACTGGAGAGCAAGCCGCTGAGAGTCAGCGGCTTGCCCTCCAATCTTCTTGATGGCAGGGCGCTGAGTGCTTCCCACCAGAGTCACTGCAAGTTAAGATGGCCGATGATTGCACATGGCTTGAGTGTCATTGGTTGGCATGGACAGATTGGCTTTGGGCCCAGGGCAGAGTCATTTGACATTGCCATTGAACACGTACACACTCGTTATATACCAAAGCTACAGCAGTGTCATCTTTATCCCTGACCTCCTTGATCATCGTAGCCTCACCAGTGTCACAGCCATGGTGAATCGCCTCCGTGGACGTGGCAGCAAGGGTGAGAAGGGGGAAAGGACTGTTGTGATTGAGGGATCATGGAAATTTAGTTTTTAGTGTCAGTGCTCGGAATGCAGCAGTCACAAGTTGCATTCCCCGCAGGACTGAGAGCACATCCTCCCAACTGCGAGGGTCAATGCACCGATGTGCACAAAATATGCTGGGCCGACTGGAATTGGAGAACGAGCGTCAGCAGGACATCTGAAATAAGAATTGTAAATTCTAATCATTAATACTAAGAATGAGACTATATCAGTGCCATGATACAATATTGTCAAGTTTTATTATAATAATTATTTGTTTCTCATTCCTGAACAGGAACAGCTGGCCCGAGCCCAAGCGGAGCTAGAGTCACGAGAACGTCGATGGCGTCAGGAAAAATCTGAGATGGAAGAACACCACAGCAGAGTCATTCAGGACAACTTGTTTCAACTGCATAAGACTCAGGGTTTTAGAAATTAGACTACTAACTACTTTACTATCTTATAACTGACCATTGATCAAATACAGATTTAATATTGTTAAACCTTCTCCATGTGTTCTTTGCTTGCCCGAAGGATCTCAAGAATGACCACGCAAAGCAATTCGCCCTGCAGGAGGTAGAGTCATTGGCACAACAGGACAAGAGGGAGGAAGTCCACAAAAAGAGGGTCAAGCGCTTGGAGGACAGCCTCGAGGCGGAGCAGTCAGAGCATAAGAAGTGCAAGCTCTTTCTGGAGGACCGGTGTGTCATGAGCAATTGTTAATTATAATAATAATGAATTCAAATATATTAATTACTACGCTGAAAATAACATGGATTCTGAAACTGCTCGCCCCGAAGGAGTGTCAAGGCGCA